TCTTCAAGGCCCAACAGTCGTTGGTGTCGTGTCCCGGGCTGTAGGAATGGTAAACACAAAATGCGTCGGGATGATAGTTAGGAGAGGAGGTATTGAGCTTCTGAGGAGGATCCCTTAGGGTGAGCAAGTTGACCTCCAACAGGCGCTTCAGTATGAAGAATGATGGTATTTCAGTCTCCGTGAACTATCTTCCCGACGTTTCTTGCTTACGCCGATTACCCCTTTGACGCTGGCGAGGTTGTTGATGGGCTTGTGACCCTGAACCAAGAAAAGGAGCTTTCCCCTTGTCTTCTTGAGTGGATGGACCCTGAACTAATCAAATGTGACAATACAAGTGCTATAAACCTCACTAAGAATCGAGTTTTACACTCACGCACTAAACACATAGAAATTAGACATCATTTTCCACGCGATCATGTTGAAAAGGAGGATGTTACGTTTGAGCATGTTGATACTAAAAATCAACTTGCTGACATCTTCACAAAACCACTCGCAATGGACCTCTTTTTCAACATCCGCCGTAAGCTAGGGATTTTAGATCTCTCATACGTGATGTCCTAAACATATATGTAATTGAAATATATCTATGTCACACCATACTGTTAAGATGTGCTTTTTCAGCTTTAGTACGTGTGTTCACTTATCTAACCAAACGAGGTAATATCCTTCCTATCTTCACCCTAAATCACCGATAAGTTGATCTAAATGTTCACTGAAAATGTCTTCGTATATCTGTTTTACATAAATTGTTTGAATTTGACATATGCAATTTACATCATATCATTAGGCATGCATAACACACTTCAGATAAGTCTTTTTTTTTGGTATGATACCATATTCCCTTGCTAGCAAGAAACAGTGTAGAAACTGCAAAATCTGTCAAAATCCATATTCCCTTGACTCACTCATTTTGTTTCTTTCAAGTGCTTGTATAAATGTCTCTTTCAAACATTTTATCGTGCTTATGTAATCTAACTTTTTATTTGCCAATGCATTACTTTTAAACGTGATTACTTTATGTTTACTCTGCTATTTACTCACTTATTGATAACTTTATGCCTGACATTCTGTGTGAATGCCAAGTCCATTAACCGCTGAAATTGTATATAAATTTTCCTATGTGCTGAGTTTCTTGAAACTGTTGCTTATTCTCTTTTTGATATGGTCAAAGGGGGAGAAGAAGAGTGTGTCAGTGAAGATTGTGCTTGTATTAGGAAGAAGATACACAAACTCAGGGGGAGCAAGCTTTTTTCATTCACGACACATCATCAGATATTTGCCATCATCAAAAAGGGGGAGTTTGTGAGCAACCCCTTCATAGATTGATTTTTAATGATTGCAAATATAATATAACATGTTTAAATAAGCCAAAATTACATTTCTCTCATAATGCATCATTATGAGTCGACACGTCAAGTTTTGTATCGATACATAGCTTTCTGAAGTCCTTGGAATTGTATCTCAAAACTATTATGTATCGATACAAAAGCTTATGAGTCGATACATAACTCTTTGATGATCCTGGAATGTAAATCTAAAAACTGCATGCATCGATACATAAATTTCATGCATTGACACATAATACTTTGATGCCCCTGTAATACTTGTATGAATCGACACAAAACCTTATGTATCGACACTAAACATTATGATGACCCTGGAAAACATTTTGAAACTTATATGTATCGATACATAATATCATGTGTCGACTCATACTATGTTTTAAATTCAAAAGTCAAATTTACAATCAGTATGTATCGACACATACGCATTATGTATCGACACAAAACATTCTGATGATCCTGGAAAACATTTTGAAACTTATATGTATCGATACATAATATTATGTGTCGACTCATACTATGTTTAAAATTCAAAAGTTAAATTTACAATCAGTATGTATCAACACATATGCATTATGTGTCGATGGGTATAAAAGTGTTGGTTCTGTAAAACGCTATAACATGATTTTGTATCGACTCAAAACATAATGCATCAACTCTTCCTGTTACATATAACTAACATGAGTCGACACATGACCAACATGCATCGACTCATATCACCCTCTTTTTGACTAACCGTTTTCTGTTATAAATATAAGCAAGCATTTCTTCAGAACAAAGAGACAACAACATAGAAGATTGTGTGCAAAACAATTGTGAGCAACCAGAAGCTTTTCATTCCTTCATCTTCATCATCTTCTCAACCATCTTACATTCAACAAAAACAAATAAAATCAAACATCCTTGTTGAATTGAATCAAGCGTTTTGAGATAATGTTCAGCTGTGTATTGAAGAAGTCTAGCTGAGTTGAAGGTTGAAGAGGAAGCTTCAAGAAATAAACCAGAGGGTTTGTCCTTCAAGAACGGGTGTGTTCTTGAGGGTTTTGTCAGCCACGGTCACGCGAGTCAGTTTCAGCCGTAGCGAGGGGTTTGGAAATCAGAAGGATTTTGAACAAACAGGTCGTGGAAGCGGAGGATCATTCGGTGACTTTGCAGGGAATATTGATACAGCTCATATCAAGTGGTGGTTCTTACAAAAAGAAGAATATCATAGGTATTTCTTTCTTTCTGTGTAGTGTAACCTTGCTATCAAACATTCAGCATATTGAAATAAAATTTCTCAGTTTCGATTGTGAAATTGAGAGGGAGACGTACTCACACGCGAGGACGACATTGTGGAACTTCCTTACCAAACTGCCTGCGTATCGTTCTCTCTTTCTTTCTCTTTACAATTTTACATATTCTATAATTTTGCAATTCAATTGGCATGCTAAGTTTTACAGTCTAATGATAAACATAGTGGCTAAAACATTTTCACCAAACCACCACTATTAAATTATTATACAAGCATACGCCAATTGTTTGACAAAATTCCTATCATATTTCTAAATTCATTGGAAATTCTGTTTTATGATAAGTGCATTGAAACGTCAAGATTTATGAGTTGTACATTCATCCATTTCATTTAATAAAAATCCAGCAAAGTTTTCACATGTCAAGTTTTCTAGTAGTCGGTTCAAAGTAGACGGAATTGATTCAGGACATTGATTTTCGCTGCTTTCAACTCTCTTTGATAAAACAATTTTAAATTCTTGAAAAAGAAGAGGTGATCCATTCACCCCCCTCTCGATCACTTGCCACACCGTCTAACAGTTTTGAAAATGATTGTAAGCAAGCAACTATGAATGTTCTAACTACTCAAAAGAAGTCTTTGTTCTTTTCCTCCTCCTTTAGATAGTGCTATCTTACCATTGATTAGTAAGAAGTCCCATTATTGGATGTGAAGGGACGGGCGTGGGTCGTCGTATATTCATACAAGGCAACCTATGATACACTTTAGCAATTGTCGTAAGGGACTAAGATCGTTTTACCAAAGCCAACGTCGAAGGATCATCGAGGGACTACAATCTTTTTTTATCGAGGGTCTTTGCTAAAGCGTCCCACATTCGAGGGACATGACTATTTATTCGTAGGCAACAAGCGAGGTTACCCTAAAGGCGCGCGTGTGAAAAGTGATTTGTTTTTAATTAAATTTGTCTTGAAGTTAGGGTTATTTAGCGGTTGATTTTATGTCTTATCATACACGCCTAATTACTATACAGTATAAAGAAAAACAATAAATTACGGAAAGTAAAATTCTATGCTATTACAGAGCTTTCAGGAATGGGGGATACACATTTACATATGGGGATGGATCGAATCGATAATGCGATTAAAAGTCTAAATAAACAAGCAATACAACCCAATCGAATAAAAAATGAACAAACATTTAAACTAGCACAATCTATGACATTAATTAGCAAAATAAATAACACTATAATACTTTTGGTATTTTTTGTTTGTGAGAAATTTGGAAAGAAAATAAAGAATCTATTCTATTATTTTTATTTGAATTTTATTATGTAGAAACTAAATAATTTAAAAGAAAGTTTACTAAACCATATATAAAAAATGTTAACAAAATTATTCACAAAGTCTTAAATTAATTAACTAATTTTGAAATTATATTTTTATTTAGATAAATTTAAAAATTAATACTAAAGATTAAATATAAACTAAAATTATTAAAATAATTCTAAATTAACTTAATATTTTAAGCAATTAAATTAAACCTAAACTATGCTAAGGTTATTAAATAAAATCTAAAATAATTTAAGTACAAACTAAATTAATTATAAAAAAAATTTTTAATCCAAACTAAATTAACAAAATTACTAATTTAAAGTTTGACTAGATTACTTAATGTTACTAACTTAAACCCAAATTCTAAGATTATAAAAAAAAATTGCTCTAAGATTATTAAATTAGATCTAAACCAAATTGAAAATTCTAAGATTAGTAAATTAAATCTAGATAGAAATTCTAAAATTATTAAATCTCTAAAATTACTAAATTATATCTAAATTAAATTAAAATTTTAAAATTTAACTAACTAAATTAAAATTACTATAATAATTCTAAATTTAAACTAATTAGTTCTAATTAAAAGAATTTTTTTGTAATTTTATATGATTAAACTAATCAACCTAATATTCAATCTAATCAACTATACATTTTTTAAAGTTACTAGATTAAATCTAAAACCAAAATTTAAATTTAATACATTAAAATTAAATCAAATAAAAGAATAAGAGGTAATGTTTAAAACAGAAAATAGGGGGTGTGCTGATAGGCAATATTTTCGCTGGGCTGAGGATGTTGGCAGGTCCAAATTATGAGGAAAAAACTGATATGCTGTCTATTATCTTGGGAAGAGAACTCACAGATTGAATTATTATCTCTAGTTCCAACAAAAGCAATTAACAAGAAAAAATTAATTGAAACAAAAGAGCGATCTTCTCCTCCCTCATCCGTATAACCGTTCTTAAAAACACTTTTCATCTCTCATTCATAACACCCTTAACCAGAACTCACTCTCATTCTCTCTTTCACTCTGAGACTTCCTCACCATCTTCATCCCCACGCTTCTCTCTCTACAACATTTCCTGATCTCAACCTCTATCTGATACGAGCATCACAAAAGCACACAAAAATGGAGTTTATAGTTTTGAGCAGAAGGCTTTTTTGGCGGTGTTTGGTTGGTAACAGGGGCGGTGGCGAAGATGCATTGGTGGATGGGATGATAGCCGGGGAAACTGAAGACAGTGGCTGAACAGTCAGAGACTTTGCAGGGGATTGCGCTTTAGAAGCAGTGGGAGACAGTACCGGAGAAATCGAGACCATAGACGGTGGTAGCAGTTTGTTGTCTCAAAAGTTGAAGCATCTACTGTGGAATTGAATCATGATGTACTCCTGATGCACCTACTTTAAGATCCAAGCATTTAGACCTAAAAGCATGTGACAAGATCCTACTCACACAAACTGTCTTAAGATTGGTTTCCAAATCCTCCTAAAATTTAACATTATACTTTCTTCGAAGCTCCGCTAACTCCTTTTCAAATTCAGATTTCAGCCGCAATTTCTGTCCCAACAAAAATGCACGAATCTTAATGATTTTTCGAAGACTGTTCTATTAATTTCTGTATTCTTTCAACATCTACTTTTAGTGGATCATAAGACAAACGAGGAGGAATTATGGAAGGTGAAGAGGCTGTAGTTTGGATAGGATTGTTATTCATTTTCAATGGAGTTTACAAATTTCTTGGGTTGGCAGATTATGCTCTTACTCCACTGGCTGTAAGTGAATCAAGATCTGAATTTCAGGCAGGGTGCACAATAACTTGGTTTTAATGCAATCCATATGCTGAATTTGGTTGTGGTTGTTGTCTGTGGTGAACGAAGGTCGTATCAACTCCTTCTTATGTTTCAATTTTATTATTGTTGTTGTATCACACTTTCATGGGATTTGTGTAGTGAATGTTGATAGTTAGGTATTGCGATATTAAAGAGCTTGAGTGAATTTTTTTGCAGGTGAAGTTTCAACATGTGAAGGATGATGATAGTGTAAGAGAATTGTGCTATGAAGTTATTGATTTTATTTGGACAGATTTAGATCATGGTTATCAAAGGATGGTGGGGCTTGGGTTGTCTAAATGTTTTTTTAACTCTATTTTTTTAAAACATTTTTTACTTTTTATATGACCACATATTTGAGTTCACAGGGTCATGGAATCAGAGAGAAGTCACAAGATTAGAGAGGAATAACAACAACATCAAATCACATAATCAAATTAGAAGGTGAACAAATATGGCTATGCAAAGATGATAGAAGAAACGGTACCTATCGAAGCCTCTCCAATGGAATTGCAAAGAAAACAATGAGTTTAAATTCGCGTTTAGATTTCTGTATCCTACTATTTTGAACTATTTCTTCTCTGACTTCTTTGTGCACGTGAGTTGTAGTTGCTGTCACGTTGATAGGCGTCGAATCGTTGTTGAGAAGTTAAAGACGTGTGATCTATGTGTTGTACCCTAAAATTTTCTCTCTCATTTATCAAGTATTTTCTCACAAGATCTCCTTTGGTTCAAGACTGCACAATGGTTGATTAGCTAAAGACATCTCCTTAAGCATTGATGACTGAAATTAGGGTTTGAAATTTCACAATGATAATTGAAATTTTAGTACCTCATATTACTTTCATGGATCATTATGGACCCTCAAGATTGCTCATGTCAAGTTTTAAGTCTTGGATCACATTTTTGTTCAGTCAATTAATCAGTTGACCTAAAAATCAACTATATTAGCGAAAAAGTCAATTATGACCAATTTACAGTCAAACTTCATAATTTTTTATCCATATCAACATTATGAACTCATATGTATCATTTTATCAAGTTTGGACACCAATTTCTTAAGAAATTTGATCAGATCATCAAAAGGGAAAAATGATGAAAATTAGGGTTTTGATTGAGAAAGGGCAATTTCTGATTTTTGACCTAGCAAATGGTTGATTGGTTTGAGACATGATCTCAAGGTTTCAAATACATCATTTTGACCAAATGGTATGACCCAAAACTTCCCTCAATATCAATTGATTGATAGTTGATTTTCAGTCAACTGATACAGTGAAAAGTCAAACTTTAACTTTTTGGTCAAAATCAAGTGTCAAAGATCACAATTCATAAAAACATTTCAAAATATGAAACTTGTTCATCAATAAATCAAAAATTCAAGATTTCATCTTGAAAAGTCAAAGTTTCCAAACTTAGAAATTTTTCTAAGTGTTGAAAACTTCATATTTTTTCAGAAATTTGAGCCATTTTTTCATCATGATGCAAGATGATTCAAAAGAAACTTTAAACATGAAAGTTGTAGATCTCAATGAGATCTAAAACTTTTCTTTACAAAAATACTCCTAGAAATTCTTGGATTTCAAGTTATTAATCCATGAAACCATGGTCTTGAAACTAAAACACTTAGTGAAATTTTGAGCATTTTGGTCAGGATTTTGACCTAACTTCTGGACAAAGTTTCACATAGTTCCATTTGGATTTTGCAAAAGTGATTCAAAGAGGGGTTGTAGAGCACACTACAAGCTTCATAAAATGTCTAATAACTCCTTGAGATCATTTGTGAGCAAGGATAATCGAAGGTCAGAAGTTATGGTTTCAAGTTATTTTACAAGGCAGAATTTTGTGATGAACAGAAATTCAAATCCATGCTAGTCTGCATAATCATTGCTTTGCAAGCCTCAAACTTGCTTGGCACTCAATAATTAATGTTTTTCATAACTGTTAGAGGCTTTAACTCATGCATTCAATGCATTTCCCATGCTTAATACCATTTTAGGAAGAAAGTGCACATTGCAATTTAGGAAAAGTAGCTTTTGTGCATAAAATCAGTTCTTGAGCTTTACACTTGTTTTCTTCTGATCATACACAATCTATAACCCAAAACAAACTTGTTTAAAGCCTCAAAACGACTCAGCCCATGCTTGTACTTTTCCTTAAAACCATGTTTTCACTTTTCTTAAAAATCACGTAACATAGCCATAACTTGTACTTGTGTGATTCTGACCGTCTCAAGTGATAGAACATTTTCCTTACTTATGCACAAGTTGTTTTCATCAAAACACACGAGTTGAAGCACCCTCAAAACCTCCCAAGCACCTTGCTACATAGAATTTCCCAAACTTGACAGTTTCGAGCAAAAACTCACCATCTTCATTTCCACTCGTGCATTTTAAAAACTAATCATCCAAACACCTTCCATACATCATATCAAAATAATTCAGGCCCTTATTTCATAACTATAACTCCTCCATCACCATCCACCATTTTCAAAACTGAAGCTTGCAACTTGACTTGAGTTGGGAGTTTCAGCCATCCTCAAAGCAAAGTAGGAGTTGGAATACACTCGAGGAGGTCCAGGCCAGCTAAACAGATCATTGGAAAACCTTAAAGCTTGCTCAAACTCCATACACGAACCCAGCTGCAAGAGGTAAGTTTTCAAACTTCTATCTCTTCATACAAACATCATTTGATTCTGATTTGTGAAGATAAAATGTATATACCATTGCCATGAAGATGTACATATCCATAGTTTGCATTTATATGGCATGAGCTTAGAGAATTTTAGAGTTGAAGTTTCTGAAATTTTTAGGTTTTAATTTAGGGCCAGAAAAATTCTCACTCATCTTTGACTTTTAGCTTTAGTTATTTATATGGTTGGATTCGTGGGAATAAATACCATAACTTTCATGTTTGTACTTTCCATTTTTGTTGAGAGATGAAGAAGTTATAGGTACTCTGGTTGGGCGTGAGGTTGAAGATGAAGTTCAGGCCATGGGCTTGATTTGTAATATATATTTATGGTTTGATATAAATGAACGGATGTATAGCCACTCTAGTGGTAAAGCAGCGCGCTAGTGACCAAGAAGGTGTGGATTCAACACCCAGCGCGTTGTCTTTTGCTTTTTTTGTCACATTTTTCTTTTCCTTCTGTTTGCAGCGCCTGGGCCCTATAGCATTGGGCCTTCATTTTTTGCTTACTAACCCCGACTTACTTCAGCACCCCCTGGCCCAACTTCATTATTATTTTCTTTTTTTATTTTACTTTTTTTTTCTTTATTATTATTATTATTATTATTATTATTATTATTATTATTATTATTATTATTATTATTATTATTATTATTATTATTATTATTATTATTGTTATTAATTTAAAAAAATCCAAAAATATTTATTTTATTATTTTACACTCATTTATATTTTATTTTTCATTATAAAAAACTAAAAAAGAACAAAAACAATTTTCTTAATAAATTAATTTCTCTTTCTTTATTAATATTTAGATAATTAGGTTTAATTATTATATTATATTATTTTATTATAAATTAAAATTAATTTAGAATTTAGGTTTATTTTTATTAAATCTCTTATTATTTCTATTATTTAAAACATTTTCATAAAAAAACCCTAGAAAACCATTTTTAACTTATTTTTCTTTGTTAATCAATTTAGGTTTTAATTTTAGTTAATTTCCATTAATTATTTTCTTAATTAGGTTAAGATCAAAACCTTCCATAAAACCAAATAAAAATCATTTATTTTTTTCCATTTTGCATTCTTGCATTTTTATCTTCATTTTTGTATAATATTCAATATGGTTGTAATAATTATTTAGATTTAATTTTCTTGCAATTTCCCCATTTGTAAATTTGTACACCCCCTCCCCTATTGATGTAATAGTTTAGTATTTTTATTTTCCGCAATTTAATGCTTTATATATAAATGCTAGTAATTAGGGTTTGTATGGAAAGATTAAAATCAATAAGTTAGCAAACCTTAATTCAAGACAAAACAATGCATGTAAATCAACACACTTGCACACTTACACCCTTAGGGTAAATCCAATTTTTTGCCTTATGAAAATGGCCATATTATGCATGTGAGGTATCTTAGCAAAAGCAATAAAAAAATACAAGATCATAGTCCCTCGATGACGCTATCAAAGTTGCCTTTCAAAAATGATCTTAGTCCCTAAAGAAAATGCTAAGATATCTTACAACATTACTAATCATGGCTATACGATGACCCACGCCCATCCCTTTTACATCCAAAGATAGGGTTTCTTGCCAAATCAATGGTAAGATAACTGTGATCGGTGGATCTGGAACTGACTGTTTTAAAGCTGGTTTCGCGAAATGTCGCGGTAAGCAAGAGTCGCCACCGTCTTTTATTTTCTCCAATTGGAAAGGACAAAAGCACAGAAAAATTCCTTATAGAGATTGCTCTCGGTTCGGGAGGTAGATTATAGAAAGGGAAGGTGTTAGCACCCT